AATTTTATTAAATACTTAATTTTAAAAAAATTTCGAAAATTCTTTGAAGACACAAATTTTAAAATTAAAAAGCAATTAAAAAAAAATTTCGAAAATTCGTTGAGGAAATTCAAAAAAGAAAAAAAATTGAAACGTTTCAGAAAAAATTATAAAAAAAATTTTACGAAAAAAAATTTTTTATTAATGTATTTTTCACATAATTTTCTCACTGTGTACGGCTTTTATTCACTGTCGTTTCACATATGCACAAATGCAAAAGAAAACATAAGTAAAAAAACTGCAAAGCTCTTCTACACTACATAGTACTCAGCAATGTGTAATTCATTCACACCTTTTCTTTGCGTACAATTTACTTGCAACACATACTACAATGGACTTACTAAATGACTGACTGCTGGCTGACTAACTGACTGACACTTGCTACTAACAACCAATGCTAACAATAACAACAACAATTAGCTTGTCATAACAAGAAGAAGAAGTGTTGCAGAACATGCAAAAAATACAACAAATAAAAAACGACAACAACAAAGCGAAACAATGCGAATTACATTGTCTGCCAGTTGGTAAGGAGAGGAGGCGAGCGGAATGGAGAAAATGTGGTGTGAAAATACACATATGTATGTACAGGTACATGTGTGTGTGTGTGAAGTTGGCAGCGAGTGCGGAATTTCCACAATATAAATGTAAATTTTTTCTGAAACGCTGTTTGAAGTGGCTTAGAGTCATTTGGGGTGTGGTTAACGGTAGCTTTAAGAGATAAAATGTTGACCTGAGCGTACAATGGGGGGGGGGCTCATAAAGAGTGACAGGGATTATTTGTAGATATAATAACTGAAATTATAACCAAATTGATTTAAAATGGAGGAAAATTAGAAATGATTTGGAGGTTTTGTGGAGGATGGCTTAAGAGGAGCTTGAGATTGGCTTAAGAAAGACTTGAGATGAGCTTGAAAATCACTTCAGAAGTGTTTACATAGATTTATGTGTATAATTTAGGTGTTTGTATAAGAGCTTAAGTTGTTATAAAAAGTCTTAAAATGATTTGTAGAATTGTTGTTGAGAAAAAGTTAAGAAAATGTTTGAGATTGTATTGAGAAAGACTTGTAAATTACTTGAGAAACAGTTGAGAAGTATATAAATGGACCTAAGATGAAATCTAGGTGTTTGTGCAAGGGTTGCAATTGCTATATGAAAACTATTTTTAAAATTGTAACTGAGAAAAAGTTGAGAAATGCTTGATTTAGTTTTGAAATTAGTTTGAAAAAGTGTTGAGAAAAATGTATGTTCTATAAAAAAGTGGTGGTGATGATTTAAAAATTGTAAATACAAAGCCAAGTTGAAAAAGTTTTGTTACTGGTTTGAGAAACTATTGAGAAAGTGTTGCGAAACTATTGAGAAAATGTTGAGAATTATTTAAATTTAATGAAAAGCCGCTGTGATAATTTAAAAAGCAAAAATAATAAAAAAAAGTGGAAAAAGACATGACATTGGCTTGAGAAACTATTGAGAAATCATTGAGAATATTTTAAGCCAACTGAAAAATACATTTGAGTATATTTTGCATAATCAGGCTGCTCAAGAGCTTCATAAAGTATTAAACAGACTTTAAGAAAATGTCGAGAAAGACTCAAATTTGTGTAACTACTGAAATTTTAGGCTTCTAAAAATGTTCAGCACAGCAAAATATGAAAAATTCCACCAAATAATAAACTTAAACACCAAAAGCGAAAAATATTAGACGGGAAAGGGTTAAGAATCTATACACAGTCACTTACACCAACACACGCTTACATAATAAAAATGCATGTAAATTCAACTATTTAGAGTGCTGTTGCCTTGAGCTTGAAAATCATAACGTGCGCTTCGTTAGCGAATATTCACAGGCCAATATACATAAGTATAGCGCATAAATATGTATTTAGAACAATGCAAAATACACATATTTACATTCATATAAGTTTGTTTGCAAGCCGCTGCAGTTGCCTGCCACCACATATGTGGCTTAATGAAGCCGTTCGAGTGTTTTTAGTGTTTTTCCTGCTTATACTCAAGCACCATGGCACACATAGCCTTGCATGCCTTACATACATATACATGTATGCGTGTATGTATGTATTTATGTTGGCATGAGTGCGCACATTTCGGTGGTTTGTTGTTTTACTGGCCTTGTTGTTATTGTTTTTTGTTATTATTTCATTCATTGCTTGAAGTGCGCTGCTTTATCGACTGCATTCACTTGGAAGGCTGCAGCAGAAGTGAAGGGAAAGAACAGTTGATGGGGAAATATTGAGTTTTCAAAATTAAATAGAATACAATATTTTAAGAGAAATCGATTAAGCGATGAGCATGCAATTGAGGAAAAAAAGAACCTGCAAGCATTAAAAAATTTTAAAAAATTATTTTTTAAAAGTTGAATTTTGATTACTTGAAAAAAAATTAAAAAATCTCAATTTGAGTTAGAAAAGTCATGCAGCAAACCAAAGTTCAAACATCCTAAAGCATATTGATTAGTATTCATATTTTTGTTGTAATCTCAACTGTGTTTTCTCAAAAAGCAAACGTCTGGCTCAAAATTACCCGCTTCCTGCATACACAGCAACTTACAGTTATTATTTGAAGTAGGCAGCAGAAGTCATTAAAAAATCTTTAAGATGCTGTAAGAGCCAATGGCCAAGTAACGCTCCACTATAACAAAAAGTTTTATAGAAACAATTACTTTTTTTTTAAATACGTTTATACACACTTTCGTCTGCACTCAGCTAATATACGAGACATGCATGGCGCTTAATTTGACAAACCATTCGTCTTGAGGCGTTAAAATGCTTAACCTTTTTTCGCAGCGTATTTTCGACAAATCGCCATGCAATAAATAGCATGTCACAGTTACTTTTTCCAACGGTTTCCCACCGTTTTTTTTGGCGTGTGTGGTAGGGCAAACGAAAGACTTAAGCAGCGAACCTCTGTGGAGTTGAGTTTCGGTAGCTACGCATAAGTGGAACACTGTTCACTTAATAAATGGTTTATTGATTATGAGCACTTCTTACGAATTTTAAAGTAAAATATATGCTGATTGTACTATCTAAGTACACTTTTCAAAAATCAAAGCTGTTTGCAAAATTATTCGAAAACACTTTCACTCAATATGATTTAGTTATAATTTAGGATTTTGATTTCACATTTTTTTATCAGCTATAAAAAGCAAGCTTTGTGGTAACACACGAGTTATGTAATAACTAAATAATAAAAATCGTTAGCTGCCATAATAAAAGTTGTCAAAACGAGGCGCAACGATTTTTAACTGCTGAAATCAGGCGCCTTATGTAATGAAGACGTTCTTCTCGCACTAACTATGTATGTTTCTGCCGTTAGTGTTAAAATCATTCACTTAAGCAGCAATCAAAATTTATTGCCAACACAATTAACGCTTGCTTGAAACAATTCATCAGTTAATCAACATAAATGAAAACTAAAAGCAGAACTGAAAAAAGATTAAAGAGAACACAAAAAGCGTCTTAAAAACAAAAACTATAACTGCCGCTTGTCAGCCACTGGCAGTCATAAGCAATCACGAATCAAGACATCGCTGATGGTCATCAAAATGATTTATATGGCCGCAGGCAAAAAAATTTCGACGGCACGTACGCAGCTAAACGCATGGTCAACTTTCAATTAAGAATGACAACTAACGGCGCAGAAGATGTTAGCGCGGTTGCATGCAACTTCAGACCTTGCCGCACTTATAAGAATGCCACACGTTCATCATTGCAACGAATGTTGCAATAAAAACGCTGCAAGTACGCAAAGACTCAGGCTTTTGCTGTCGAAAATTTTTTTTGGTAAGCTCCTCATTAAAGCGCTTTGCCAGTTGTGGCAACTAATGAAGCGCCACTTTCAAATTGGTAATATTTCGCCTTTTGAGTTGCAACCACAAACTGTGGCAGCACAGCAGCGCTCAACTACAACAATTGCCACATAACGTTTTTCGCTTTAATTGTATTTCCCAGAACGTGTATGAGATAACGGCAGTGCAATAAATTAAAATACATGCAGCAGCGGCGGCATCTGTGCTCGGCTTAAGCGCAGCAAAGTTGTCATATGCGGCGGCGATTTTAATTAAAAATAATTAATGCAATAACGCAAATATAAAATAATTAACATTTTTTCTAATGTAATTTTTCTCCACGCTGCGCGTAAGCACAAAATCTGCATACGAAATTCAGCTCGCTCCAGCAACAACACAGCGCTTTGCAACATTGCACATATACAATGGCACCACCGCCTGAACGCGTTGCATTTCTTGCTTCATGCACATTGCTTGGCGACCCAATTGCCAGCATTTACAATTTGTCGCGCCGTTGCTGTGAAATCCAACTTATTTCCTACCCAAATTCTCGGCGACAAGGCAAAAAAAAGATCGAAAATAGTCAAAATTTTGCAATCGCTCATTCAAACGCGCGACGCCGCTGGGACGCTGTCGCCGACTTACGAACTGCAACAGCTCATTAGCATGCGCAGCAACAGCAACAATTGCTACGCTTCGATTTAGCGACGCTTGCGTCAACAGGTGATTGTCGCTTTTTGCTTGACTGCGGCTGCGCGCGCGTATCCGTATAGCATTACCAGCCTTTGTGCAGCTTCTCCATTTCGAGCGCACACACGGCGCCGCTGCAGAGCATGGACTGACAACTGTCATCGTCATGCATAAAATGTTAATTTCCTCTAATTACAAGTTGCACAGCGCATGCGAATTGCCGCGAGCGTTCCGGCTCACTCACTGCTCGACGCAGTTCTAGTTTACCAGCCGAGCGCCGTAGTGCCGCCTTAACAGTTGAGTACGAAGACGTTGTACGGCGGCGGCGCTATGGCCTCAGGGTGTCTCGCGGCGTCTGGCAGCGTCTTAGGCACGTTATCGCCGCGCATCTGACAGATTTATTAGATTAGATCTGACAACTTAATTGCCATTGTTTGCACTTGTTTGACAGCGTTCACGTGTAGTATTTTGAGTAGTTTGCTTTTTTTCTGTCTTCTCGTCCAGATTTGCCTCGTATTTGCCCAAATGCAAATGTTAATTAAGTTTATAAATTTTCATGTAATACAATTAGGCAGACAATAACGCTGAGTTTAAGCCACAATGGGTTATAAAAGTTAATTGAAAATGCGCTGTGCAAGATTTGGGCAGCAGATAAGCGTGTGGGCGGTGCTTAATTGGATATTTCGACAATAATACAGAAACTTTAAGTACATTAAACGCTTGAGAGCACACATTTGCATGCATAAAGGGTTATTTAAATTTCAATTAAGCTATCAAAGCACAAACATTAATTGCCTAACTGTGCCAGTTGTAACCTTTGTAATTTGCTAATTCTTTCTTTTTTTAATTATTTTTATGCTCACAGTGCTTCGCAACGATAGCTCTACTTGTCTGCGTCTCGCTCGCCCGTGCCGAACCACCAGTGCCCCAAAACCAATACTTGCCCCCCAACCAAGGTGGCCAACAGCCCTCAGCCCAATACTTGCCGCCCACCCAGTCATTCCAGTCGCCCTCCAGCAACTATCTGCCACCACAACGTAGCGGCGGTGCTGCTGGCGCTCCACCCAGCACCAGCTATGGCGCGCCAGCTGCCGGTGCGCCCAGCTCACAATATGGCGCTCCTGCTCTGACCGGTGCCATCTTCTCCAAGCAGCAAGGCGGTAATGGCGGTTATGGCAGCGGCAGAGGCAATGGCGGTTATGGTGGCGAGGAACAATACGGTCCAGCTAAATACGAATTCAAATACGACGTGCAAGACTACGAATCCGGCAACGATTTCGGACACATGGAACAACGCGATGGTGATTTGGCTGTTGGCCGTTACTACGTGCTCCTGCCCGATGGCCGCAAACAGATTGTCGACTACGAGGCTGATAGACATGGCTACCGTCCCACCATCCGTTACGAACAGGTCAACAACGGTTTCAATGGCAATGCTGGCGCCGGTGGACGTGGCGCTCAAGGTGGCCAATTCGCTGGCTACCAATAAGGTGCGCAGGCCATAGAACGCGTGTCGTTAAACAAGTGTAGACGATCCTTGCCAGACGTTCAAGTGCGGTTTGGCGTTGTGTAGAGAAATAGAAAGGAAGAGCGTGAGAGAGGATGTGCGAGATGAAAATATTAAAAAGCATTTACCGTGACTTGCGCGGCCTATCGCCAAGTGTCTAAGTTTATTAATACTTTTTTGTTTATTTTTGCTACTTTTACGTTTTCATGGTTTCCGTTGTTAGTTTAAGCCAAACAGTTGAGATTATAAGCTTCATTTACTATGTAGGTGTGTGCGTGCTTTGCAAGCGCTCGAAAGCGCCGCACAAAAAGCTTTCACTTTCATCTCATTACACCACCCGCCGTTACAATATCGGCTCGCCTCTTTCGTGTCTCTCTTTCTAASTGTCACAACAACAACAAACACACTTGATTCTTCAAAGCAACTCCACAAAGCATACGACAACTAATCAATCAAACGATGCCCGTCACTTGCCATTTGCTTCCGCCATCACCAAAACAACAACTACAAATCAAAGCAACAGAACTCGAGACATCAGCAAGCAGCAATGCCAACAGCGCTTTGCGGCGGAACACACTTGTTGTAAAATTTGTTATTCGTTAAACGTAGCAGTTATCTCCATCTATCTTAGCCAATAAGCACTCTCATTTTAGTATATTTCAACTGCAGCTTTTGAAAACTCACAACACAAAAGCATACAATTTTGTATAAAATACCAGCATACACATACATACTCTCATCCATCCACACACACATGCATCCCATAAACTTAGGAGGAAGCACACAGTATGCCCACGAGATTCATTATACTCTTTTTACATAATAATCATCCACTTTTTATATTATAAATGCAAAAACAAAACAAAAATACATATGTAAAAACGGTCATTGTCGTTGTGAAGCAACAGCAATAGACAATAATGTAATAACGTGTAAGCCAGAACAATTGTGCATGTCATAAAAATATCAATAAAGAGCATTTTTGTATAAAACAAAGTTTAAAAAATAATCCTGCATTTCATTTCGAAGTGGAAACAAAAATATTTGATCATCAACAGGTAATAATTGGAAAATTTTAAATTTAAAACAAAAAAAAAATATTTTCAAATGACTTAAATTTATAACTTGTAACGAAGAAAATTGTATTATTTATAAAATTAAAAAAGAAATCACTTTTTAAAGAAATGTTTTCTAAAATTCGAGATTGGGCAGCCCTCGTGCTGCAATCTAGCACCTCCTATCTTTATCTTAAACTTTGAAATTTTTCTTGGTATCCACTCACGAGCGTCATTGTCTTGTTTACAGTGACTTAAAATATTCATCGCAGCAAAAAAATTATATTAAATCGAACAAATTGTGTAGTCTACGTAGATATTTCGAGATTGCGCAATCCTAGTGCTGCAATGTATCAACTCCCATTCCCGTAAAGTTTGGCATTTTTGATGATATCCATATTCAGACCGTTTTGACGGTCTATCTGTTATTTACAGTGACCTAATATATTCATCTCAGCCAAAAAGTGTGAACAGCTTGACATTTTTATTGTTATACATACTAAGAACCCTTTGATATTCGAACGCTATTTGCCAGAAAAAATGGTTTTAAATCGTGAACATTTTCGCGTTTGTACTTTTGTAACTTTCGACGAGGAGACGAATTTCGTGAATGTCGTCCAAACTCAGTTGTTGCTCCGGATACTATGGATGATGAGCGCAAACTTGGACGTGAGAAATGTTAGAAAAATTCTGTAGACAACCTATCTTTCCACTGAAGGAAATAAGTGGCTAGAGCTTTTAAAGTTTAGGAGTACTTAGATAATTTGTAGAGGAACCGGAAGCTTATGCTTAAAACCAGGAGCAACATTTGCAATAACGGACACATCAAGTCATATAAAAGTCAAAAAATATTGTCACAGATAGAATTTTGAAAAAGAAGAAAAAAGGCTAGAGCTTTTAAACTGAAAGCTCATAAAATTACGTATATAATTTGTAGGCGCATCAGGGGTAAGGAAGCCAAAGGTCTGGCCACACTCCAAGCGTCATTAAATGAGAGGCAATAAATTCAAATTTGACAGTTGGACAAAATTTACGAGCAGTTAAAGGCAAAAGAAGAAAAAACTCAATTCTCGAAAACGATGTCAAGAGGCATTTAACTGTATCAGCTTATGTATCGATTTATCAAATATGTATAAATATCTACAAGACAGCGCATGAGCGGACGTCGTTTCAAGCCCGAGCGGTGGCGTATGCGCAGTCTCAAACTCATTACACAATCGGGCAAGTTGAAGTGGCAAACAGTTATAAGCGTTTAATACGTATTTCCCCGCCACACTATCGATGAGTAATTGCAAAAAATAAAAAAATCACGCATAAAAACATACATAAATATATAAAAGCTTACATCTGTAGCTGCCTTCTCAGGTGCACAAGAGGATGTGCTTCATCTGCGGCAGTAACAGTTCCTCAAACAATTGATCGAATATTATTTTTATGCCTTTTTTATTAACAAAAGATGTGTTAATACTTTCAAAAATCAAAACGTTTTTCAGTCAAAAAGTTAAGCAAAACAAAGCTGAATCCGTTATATCATTACTTCGAGTTTAACTGCAATATTGGTATAACTTTCCTTGCTTGCAGTGCAGTACTTATAAGGTAGGCATGCTGTTCATTAGTTTCTGGCAGGCTTCTGTTGTAATTTTGTTAACTTGCGCTGTCACTTGATGCCAAAGTTCGCCAGGATTACGGCGAACTGAATCACTACTTTCCAAAGACCTTTGAGTTCTCCCCAAAGGTCTTATATTGGGTTGAGGTTCGGTGATTGCGGTGGCAAGTCAATCTATTTTATCTTGGAAATAACTTTTTGTAGTTCATAATGCTCTTGAAAGGTTGAGTTCTCAAAATTGAGACCCACTGTTTCAAGTTTCCTGAGAAATTTTGTTCGAAAATATGAATATATTCGAATCCTGTGACATTTTCCGACCCCATACCAATTCATACAACTCAAAGCAACAACGAACCGGCAACAAATTTTAGTCTCGGTCTTACAAGCCTCGACGATGAGCTTTATTTTGGTCTCGTTGGAGCAGATCCCTTTCTTCCTTTCTGCGAATCTCGGCATCAATTTTTACTTACTGCTTTGTTAGCCTTTTAGCAGATCATTTTTTTCCACAGCTACTTATTGGTTTACATCGCTTTATCACATGAACCTGTCGTGGTATACCTAATTATTTTGCGCTTCAGTGACCGCCACAGAAGCTATGTTGGTTCTGGCTACACTTTTTGGCAAAATTTACATTTTTTTAGTATTATGGTATCCCTACTCAGAACGTTTTGGCATACGAGTGTTATTTCTGTTGTTTACAGTGACTTAAAATATTCATATCAGCCAAAAAATAAATTTTGAACATTTTCGCGCGATTAGTTTTTGTAACTAATAAGCTCAGAAAAGCACGTGAGTTTGGTAGCACGCTAGTTAGCAAAAATGAAATAGTAGCAGTACTATTAACAGTGCTTTTAACGCAATACATATTTTTTGTCATCAACAAAGGAATATTAAAAAATTGTGCACATTCGATCAATAAAGTGAGGAACTGTAAGTTTGTGGCTTCATGTTGCCACAGGCTTTGTGCTACAATTACTTTGTTGTTGCTGTACAAAAATCTATTATTTTACTTTCCGTTGCGTTGTTGATGTAGGTTGTGACGTCTGCCGTGTTGAAATTGCCACGATTTTACAAAAAATTTGGTTTTCAAGCAAAAAAGTATAAAAAATTGATTTCATCTTTCCTCCGACAAGTGTTCAGTAAGTGCGGGTTTATCTCGAGAGCAAATAAAACATTCGAATATGTGTATATATGAGTGCACTTGCCGTYTAATAGCAGCACTTAAGTATGAATATTTGTTTAAAACAAAAAACAAAACAATTTGTGTTTGTGGCAAGTAGGCGTAATAATCACACCAGATCTCAAAATCATAGGCAACAAAGTAAACGCATTTTATTCGAGCGAATTTCGAGACAATTTCAATAAAACCAATTTGTGCGCGCACAATGGTTGTTTTACGTATACACATACATACATATGTATATTGTAACAATAYTAAATTAGCGGTTGCCATGTCTTTAATTAAATAGGCTGTAAGGGGCACTCAAATAGCACGCGACTGTACAAACCCTTGTCTTTTTCGCAAAAGTTTGGCTTTGTATGTGAAAGAAATGTATGGCATTTCAGATATTTAAAGTTACCGTTATAGTAGTCGTTATATAATTATAATATTATCAAACTTAATCTGAAATTAATTGCATTAGTCAAAGGTGAAATATAAATGTTTTTTCTTTGCTCATGACTAAGTCATTAATTGCAATTTTGCTTTGCTTAATAATAATTTATATAATTTTATAAATAAAAACTTTAAGTGCTTTGAAAAGCAATAATTTTATTTATTATTAATCAAAAGGTGCATCCAACAAAAACAATTAAATTCGAAGCGAAAATTGTTATTAAAAAATTAAATAATTATTAAATGAATTTATTGGTGGTAAATATTTTGGCAAGAAAAGCAATTAACAAAATAACACTACATATTTTCGCACAATTCCTCTTGTCGTGCCGTTTACCGCTATTAAAAAACGTATGTATGTATGCAGCGACAACAATATACCACGATCAGGCACCCCAGAACAAGTGCAAACAAGAAACAACTTGCGCACTCATCTTTAATTGACACACTCGTCATTGACGGCCAAGTTGAAGTTGAATTTGGAAAAAGACAAGGAAAGGTCAAAGACTGGTGGCGCTACAAGCCAAACGCCAGCTTGCGAAACAAGCAGCTGGAACATTATATGGTATAAAGGCACTTGTTTTCTCACCTCTTCATACATACAAGTATATGCTTAGTTATTTACATGAATATTTATATGTACATATATTACGAGTGCCTCCAAAATGCTGTAGCATGACCAGTAGTCGCGCTAACCATATTAATTTAATTGTTCGTCCACTTTACGCGGCTCCAATTGTTGTTGTGTGTACTGGTATGTGTAATTGTACAATAAATATGAATGAATTTTTAAATTTTTGGTTATATACACGGCAGAGCAAGAAAATTGCAGTTGCCACTCAAGTAAACACTTGGTTATGTTAGGTCAGGTTATTATAAGTCGTCTCATTTGGACAGCGTTTGTACGCCATTCCGTTGTGGTACCTACAAACTCGTCTATACTAGAGCATAGACCTTTACAAATCGAAAAACGCACAGATTTATTGAGGCGGCGAATGCCAGTTTCGGCTATGCCTCCTGGTTCGCCGAAGGTAAGACAGAAAGAGTCCTGCAAAAGCTGGACACTGTCTACCATATCCTCCTCCATACAACTTTGACAACTAACGGAAGAACGGAACCTTACCTAAAATTCCCCCTCCAAACTTCCCTTCTAGCTTCGACCCAGCCGTGAAAAAGCTCAGTGCGCCACTTCTCCAGTGACTTCTCTTTATTCATACATATATCCCTCAACGGTATGCCAACAAAAAAAACAAAGCCGCTACGTTTAAACACATGAATATCTGAGTGATCACATAACAAATTCGTCTAAAAAAAATAATGTAAAATAAATAAATAAAAAATAAACGTGTCAACCCCGCTAGTGCCACAAAAGCAAATGCACACTCAAGTACACGCTGTTAATACGGTAACAAGCAATACATATAGGCATATAAAAATATGCACACATTAACAAATATACGCGAATTTACGATGAAAACTAAAAATTAATATTCATCAGCGTTCACACTGAGGATGTAGCCATTTTCGGCTAAAGTTTTTTCCTTTTAGTTGTTGTTGTAACAATTATCGCTGCATTTGTTTTATTAGCAAGCTTGCATGTTTCTACAATATTTTAATATAATTTGCGCATGCGTAAATCCCACCCTTTTATTGTCGGCCGCGTTGACATCAGCAACGCAGCAACATTGCAGAGAACGTTATGCATAGCACCTTAGCACAGTTTAGTGCATTCGATTACGACGTGCCTGAAATTTCAATTATTACAATTTACCACTTGGAAGCTTAGTCAATTTTATATTTTGCATTGCACTTTTAATGCATATTCATTAAACTTAGTGCATTTTGGGTATAAAAATGTGTTTTGTTGCATTGCACGAAACCAGTTGTGGGTAATATTCGTTGTGCTGCGGTGTGAAAAACTGTCCAGAAATGTTGTGCCTAAAGGTTGGTGAAAACAAAAGAAATATGTTCAAAAACAGAAGTTATAGAAATTAAATCAAATGTTGAAATATTTTTAAATAGTGTTTTTCAAAGCAAATTTATTAAAAAGTGCAAAAAATTTAGTAGTATTCCGCTAAACGGTAATGAAATCGATTAACAGTTAGGGCTTAGTGAACTGATTCGAAATTACTAATGTGTGTTAGAACATTTCCTCCACAAAATTAACTACTACATCATGGCGATAATATCTAAAAGAAAAACGAAAACTTTAACCACACGTTTCACTCTCTTCCACAGACCGGTGTTATTTGTTTACTATTTGCTGCCTGTGTTCTAGCTGAAGCGCCATATGCCGCAACAGGTTGGCGTCCACTGCGCCCGTTTAACTTGCCTACTGACAACTTGCCTCCACCACGTGATATTGAAAAGCAAAGACAACCTCCACAACCCATATTTGATGTAGAACTCAAAAAACAGCGTATTGAATATGTGGGACAAATACAAGAAAATATTTTGAGTTCTCCTAATGCATACTTGCCACCAAGAAGGCAGAGCACTGATTTGGATTTAAAAGTACAACGCCCACCCTATCAGAAGCCAGGACCACAATTCGTTTTGCAAACAGCTGGCTACCGGCCACAAGGGCAACAGAACACACGCATATTTCAAATTTCAAACAGCAGACAACAACCAACAGGAGAACAAGGTTCTCTGCGTCCACAAAAACCTAAACACTTCGCTTTTGGAGTGCAACAACAGTCTACTTTATCACGACCAGCACAAACYTATGGGCCACCAAGCAACGGAGGAGAACAAAAATTTACCATTAACTACCCGGACGATATAGAACCACRTCAAGCGGATGCTGAATTGGAGGAAGCAACGCGTATTGCCATTGAAGCACTTAATGCAGCTAAAGACGCATACAATCGTCAACTCGAAGCTGATGCAGTGAATAGTGATGATGGCGCATCTGAGGCAGATGTGCAGGAGGTTAACGTTGACGGTACAAAGAAAGCAAGTGTCGGCTACCCCGTCTCRCGTGCGACTCGTGGTCAATATTATGTTTTGGGACCTGATAATCGCCTGCAGTTGGTGCGTTTCACAACTACACAAAGTGAGGAGGAAGCTCGAAAGAATGGTGGTTTCACTGCACAATTGCAGTATACGCCTGTAGGTGAAATTAACGATCCGATTTTCAAATCCAACAGMAACGGGCAATTGGTGAGAATTGTTAAAAAATAATAGCGTGGTTCACGTTAGATGCGTACTATACTATTGGTTGTATAAACATACCTATAGCAATAGACCAAAACATGGTTAAGGTGTATGTACAGATGTAAATATGTATGTAAATGAACAAATATATATACATACCTTTTAGATGTAATGATTTKTGTTTGTTTTCTTATTGGACGAAATAAATTCTAATAATTTCATAACCAGACTTCCGCACTTCATCTTACAACACTTGCAAACACACACACAAATTAGCATAAAGGCTTTTGAAAGAACTGGCAAATGACTGCTGCAAACACCAGTTTCATTCACTGAATTGGAAGAACTCACACTTTACACGCAGTATTTTATGCACTACAACGACATTTATTACCACCTTCATTTCTATTAGCTTAATTTTTAGTATAAATAAAATTAAATTCAGTWACCGACGCCACCGGAAAGCGGTAAATTTTTTACTGAGCTAACTGTCAAAAACTGTAAAAGAGGAAAGAAGGAAAATAAAACGAAATACCCAAGAGCTGTGAAGTTGCCAAACTACACGAAATGAATTTATTCGATTAAATTATTTATATTCARTAATGTGAAATATTCCAACTGTAACCAATAAATTTATGGGAGTTTTGCATACTTATTATACTATTGTTATAAATTTTTCGATAWTATTACCGTTGCTGTAAGAAATTCACAATATTCCACAATTGCYCTAAATCCAAAATCCACCATTTTCTGTTAAGCCTTTGCTTATCACAATTATCACCTTCCGCTTTATATGACATTCGCAGTATAGCACTGTTTTTCATCGCTTGGTTGCGCATAGCACGATAGTAATATTTATATTTTCTAGTTTTTGTTGAAAAAAAGTAGCCTTTATTTTCTGTAAAAATATTAGAAATTGTATTAAAACAATATCAGACAATTGTGTGTTAAATGGAGTTTGAAATAAATAAGTCCAATTAGAACAGAAGCCAATGAAGTGAAGGCATGGTCAATACATTTTTCACTGTTTTTTTTTTTCGTTTTGGTGTATGTTAGTTTGTGTGAATGTACTGCTCGGAGCGGCAAACTATAAAGGAAATAGATAAATAAACAAAAAAAGCCAGCCCACGAAAAAATATAAAAGGTAACAAAACAAGTCAGTGATTGAAGTCTGCCGCGTATRTGTTCTACGTGATGTTGTTGTTGCTATATATATAACACGTATGGTGTGCGAAAACGAAATAAGCATAAATATTTACAATTAATTTTGCGATTTGTGCTTATTTACGAAGGCAATAAGTTTTGTTCATAGCGTTATGTATGTGTGTATGTATACATATGTGCAGTTGTTTACTAGACGGCCCAAAATAAGCAATTTTTCCTCATTTCTACTAAAAACATGAACTCAAGATTCATTTATACCAATAAGAAATTTGAGCTATTTTATTAACAATATTTTGACCACATTTTCAACTTATTTTCACAAACAAGCAACTACCACGTACCAGCGGAAAAAACAAAACTTACTTGACGAACCAGTTTGCTGAACAAACCTTTTAATTGTTTGAAAATGTTTTAAAAATATAAACTTCTTCTTTTACAGCGTATCAACYGCACCAAGAATAATAATGGAATTTATTTACAGAACATTTCAGTAGCTGTTTATGTGTGCATTRCTATAAACTAAACGCCTATAATGCTTAGCAATATGGAGTGGATATTTGTAATGTTTTTGCTCTTCAGCTGTGACGCAGTGGTGCTGGATGATTTCGATGGCAGTGACACAGTTACAGCCTCAAATACAAATACCACTAATCACATTAACAGTAATGTTCCTCTATTTTTAAGTAATACTAGCTTTAATGCATATCAGAAAGTAACCACGGAGTTGCCGAAAGTGGCGAAGGACTTTGTCACTGTGAATATCAATGCGCTACCGGTGGCGAAGCCGTCATCAACCAGTGTGCCGCCTCAAAAAGTGTCTATGAGACACAATACAAGTGAGGAATCTAACGCTAGCGCTGTAAGTAGCAGTATTATCGTACCATCGGCTTCTTCGCCATTCACCCAAACTTCAGCGAGCGTGTTTTTCACAAACTATATTAATCAACAAAATGTACTGGAGCTGGTGCGCAACATTGACGCGCGTTTGCGGATTATACGCAATGTTGAAATGCGTATTGCAACCATACAGGCGAGTTTCTATAAAAAATTATTGAATAACGTAAACTAAAAATATTTTTTTCTGCAGGAGTTGTTTGATTCGATGCATTTTAGTGGCAATAGCGCCGCACTAAACCTTGGCGCACAGAAGAATAGTAGCGACGCACAGTACAGTACTTTGTCGGCCACTCTAGAACAAGATTTGCAAATCTTCGGCAAGCGACTCGCCAAGAAGCTACAAAAGGCGACGCATGTAGTGCTGGAACTGCGAGATTTCTTTCGCACAAACATTACAAAAGTGCTGCTGCAGCAACATCTACAGACAACCGAATATGGTGATGAGAACGACGATGTCGATCCTGAAGCAGATGATATGGAGACGGTTGAAGATGATGAAGAAAGCGAGATTGATAGTGAAGAGGACGAATTCGATGTTGAWATCGATGAATTAGATGGTTTGGTGGACACAGCACATGACGTGCGTAATTTGCGCTTGTATTTGCACACATGCATACAAGCATTTCAAAGCAATGCCAACAATAGGCAAATAATTGCAGAATCGAATTACAACAAGCAGCAAATACAAATCCTAAACTATCTTAAGACTGATTTACCAAGCCATAAATCACAATACTTACAGCATTTCGAACAGACCAACACTTTTATGGATGAAGGTTCCTTTGAGGCGCGTGCCAATGCGTACATACTCGAAAAACTACAAACATTGAAGAATGCATTAATGAAAAGTGACTTTTCCATTGAGCTTACTAAATTRCCAACAAATGTGCGCAGCACAGCCTCAACAACAACTACAACTAACGCGAAACTGAAATTCCTAGGAAATCACTTTAAACATATATACTTCCTATCGCGCAGCGATCATGCCGACGACCTGCGCACACACTATTACGAAGACAACTACTTCCAGCAATTGTATGTATCGTCCATAAAAAATAAATACGTTTTTCTATTACTAGACGTCGGCTCGGCCATGAATATGGAATTGCTAGAACTAACAAAGGCATTAGGTAAAYTCGTTTAGTTCGTTGACTAAAAACAATAATATACATGATTTTTCCTTTTAATTTCAGCTGCAAATATCTTGCAACTGCTTTCGCCCAGTGATCTAATTTCCATAGCGACCGTGTCCGATGAGGCACATCTTATGCAGTTCGATACCTACCCAAACGACGCAGCAAACGGCGTCTTCTATGCGACTCGAGCACGTAAAGAAGAGATTCTGAACTATATACACTCACTTGCTGTGACAAAAGGCCAAACAAACCATTCGCTGGGCTTCGAATATGCCTTCCAAACGCTATATCAGCTTCAGAACATCAGTGTGATAACGGAACAAAATCCGATACAATTTATTTATGTCACGCGTGGTCTACTCACCAATCTCTCGGACACRATGCACGTGCTCCAAGTGATTGCAAACGGCCAGCGTCAATTAATAGATCCAATAGTTATACACACATGCGCGGTGGTCACCGATGAGAAGCGCATAATGTATGAGAAGCAATTTCTCACTGACATCGCCACACAAAACTACACTAAGTACAAAATACCGGTAAACGAATGGTTAGAAAGTGAGGCTGATCTCCAAGAATTGGTCGGGAAGTTTTTCGTGCTGACTAAAACGCAAACGGACGAACTGATGCGYCTGTGCGTTGCATTATTTCAGCATACATTTAGCGASCGATATTTGAGCCAGAGTCTGGAGGTGCAGCTGCCTGTGGTGGAGCCAATTAGTGGTGGTACGTAAAGCTTGTTAAAATAAAAATCAGTAATTATATAAAAGTAATTACATATGTACGCATTACAGACGCTATAGTATCGGTCACACATGCCGTGCCACCTTTCGGTTTGGTGGGCGTTAATCTTTATCTGACCGATTTGATAGAGGACGTAATCAGCTATGGACAACCGACACAAAACGCCAATAAAAATGAGTTCAGCTACGCATTCCTTATCGATCGTAACGGTATAACCATTGCGCATCCGGCATTTCCACGCCCCATGACACAGCAACAGACACCATTTCCCGTGGATATAGCCTTCTTGGAGAACTCAACGGATTTTGCATACACGAGAAAACAAATTCTACACGAAGAGCGTGGAAATCTAACGACGAACGTTTACCTCACCAGGGACCGTAAAATCGAGGTTTGGCCATGACGACAAAACAATTTTTATAATATGAATGTACTTTTTAATATAAAACTTCTAACCTGATGCACTGTTTTGATGTAATTTYAGTCTTTTGAGCGAATTTATCAATGGCAGTCCATATTGGGTATCTACATACTGTGCCTYGTGTCCACATTTAAAGCAGAAACAAGCCCCAGCAACTCATCCACGCCAACAAATACCGATAACAGCTTGCGAGCAGCAACTCTACAAGTGCCATCCGGCTTGCCGATAAACTTACAGCGTTTCAGCATAACCAAGGATAACACTGCGCGCTTCCACAACAATAATTATGACTATTTCTCCAGCATGGAATTGCTTTATCACCGGCTGGACCTGGTGCCGCCCCCAAATGGACAGGCATGCCGTTACTTTCGCCAAGTGGCCACTATGGGTATGTTAATTGTCYTACTCAAGTATGAAATATACTGAAAATTTCTTTTCAGATACCCCCACGCTTTTCTTGAGCGCTTCCGCCTTCATGTCGCCCTTCACCTTTCTACACAACAATCGTGTGAACTCACCACGTGCGCAGATACGAACGGTGGAGAGTATAATGGCTTACCTGAAAGACACCACTGGTCTTTTGGCCAATCCAGGKCTSCGACCACAAATACGTCAAGAAGTGAGTGCGCTCTATAATGCCATGCGACACTTGAAGAAACGACATCAGGATGCACGCGGCACACTCAAGAACTACATCATACGCCGCTACATAGCCAGTGTAAATGGCGTGCTTCAAGTCTACCCAGGTTGTTTGCTTAGCACCAATTATGATCCGACACGTCGGCCGTGGTTCCGTAAGGCACTACAACAGCCTGGTAAAATTATTACAACCGAACCGTATTTAGATGCTGGCGGTGCCGGGTACATCGTCACCATTGCGCATACGATTTTCGAGGGCAAATCAAATGCGTTGCACTCTGTTGAACGCGATGAACCGGTAGCCATTGTTGCACTCGACCTGCCCTACGCATACTTTTACAAAATGATACTGGACTCAACGCCCCTCTGTCARATGAAGCATATCAAATGYTTGCTCTTCGAAAATGAAGGTTACCTTATAGCGCATCCGAGCGTGTTAGAAGCGAGCACACAAACACGCAACCAACGMCGGCCACACGAGCACCTCACACACAAGGAATCCTACCTAGCGAACGATATACTCAATCATAAATCGYTGGTGCGCAAATTGGCCTGCGCGAACTACCARAACCGCACGCTGCAACGCTACTACGTGTTCAACACCTCGCTGAGCGACATTCTCACGAATGTAGTGCATGGCGAACGCACAAAATACGCCATCGCACTGGTCTATGGCAGCAAYATATTTGCCGCCGTGCTCAATTCGACCTGCGATGGCGGTGCCTTCTGCCCCTGCAGCACGATTGATCGCATTTGTTTGAATTGCAATCGCATGGATCARATGGACTGCGAGTGCCCGTGTGAATGCCCCATGGAAATGGARGTTTTCAATGTCGCAAAACATGCAGACCCCGCGCAGTCGTCTATAGCACGTTTTCTAAATTACACGCAACAGTTTTCGTATTGCGAACCGCCCAGCGAGCATTTCATTGCCTTGCCGCCGGTCAGCGCAGAGTACCAGCTGTTGCATTCGTGCGTCAGCATCAATTGTGACGTGTATGGCACGCAGAGTGAGTGTCTCGGTGTCATGGGCTGTGAATGGTGTCAGCAAGACCTAGACGGCAATGGCTTTACGGCGTCCTTTTGTGCCGCGCAGGCATCTTGCTTTAATGGTGAGCGCGAAACGCAAACATTTTCAGTTTTTTGCTTTAATAAACATTCTTTCCCTCCATCATAGGTGTGCTCTCCTCACTTACACCGTATGGCGATTTGGACGATGTGGACATAATCGCCGCACACAGCTACAATCCCGGGCAAAAGCCCAGCTCATACTCGGCCTTTGGTCCAGTGGGTGGCGCTATTATTGTATTGGYCTTCGTTATGGGTTTTGCCATATACTGCTATCGCCACAATATGGATGCACAATCGCAGGAACAATTCTATGTGGACTCTATGCAAGAAGAGAATTATGGTCTGCCGCTATCGCGCTTCAATTTCGACGATTGTCAAGCGCATGACGAACCACCCGGTGGTGGCAATGGCGGTTACGATCATCCGTCCGCACAGCGCAATCTTATACACCCCGCCGACATTTCGCCCTACCACATGTCCACCGGCAGCAGCTATCGACGACCGCCAAACGGTGAATCGGACCACGGTTACTCCACAATGACGCCGCACGAAGACTCCTCCGATCATCAATGTTTTGCGCTGGCCGAGCCACTGCTACTGCATGACAAACGTCACAGCAAATCCGACACCATGTCCATATCAACCTCCATATCGAGCCCCACAAACCGCCACCATCAACCGCACTATCAAAACCCATACCTCAACCATCCAGCACCGGCGCCGACGCAAGCGAAAGATATCTTGCCGACGCGYTACCAAATAAACTCACCGAAGAAGTACCAACAGGCGGTGACACCAACACGCCACATAGGCGACGCTGCACCGGTCTATGGCCAGACGACACTGCCGCTAAACGACTCGACCGAAGACTGCATGCCGGCACAGCGCTACATACTGGCGCCGGTAACGGTGCATAGACATATGGAACCGACGGAAACGTAGTTACTGCGTTGGCGCAATCGTTTTATGGCACTTGATCGCATATGCTCTTTGTAGTTTAGCCAATAAGTTGAAAGTATTAATCTAGCAAGTGTTTGCTTAACTTAAATGTGGGCTTAAGTTAAATTTAAGCCGCGTAAATCATGTGTAATGCTTTACCGCAATCAGTACTTCCAAGCGCCTACGTTTTAAGCAAATATTTACATATTTTTATTGTCTAACAGTTTTAGGCCTACACGCTTGTTTGTCAATTTTTGGAAGCATGCATGCATGTAGTTGTGTCCAGCTATCGCTTCTTGTTGCAGCTTTTTACAACAAATTTTATTAGCGTTAAGTTTGCATTTTAAGCTATTGATTAGTGTATATATTTAAGCTATCACACACACATACATACATACATAAATGTTGCATTTAAAGCTGTACTGTTACAAGTTACCTACGAACACATCACACACCGTCGCTACCTGCGAATTCATGTGAAAGTGAAATTGTCGCGAAATCGCTCTCTTTATAACTGTAATTATTAATATTACCACAATTGCACGTTCACAGCAACAACACGTCAACTGTTTTCCATGCGCTAACACTAACTAACGGCATTGTCATGTCACGACTTTGCCGAAGTTGTTAAAGCAAAGGCTTAATATTTTCTATTAAATAAGTATTACATGCCACCATCCATTAGATATATGTACGATTTTCGCCCATTAAAGTGTTTAAAGAAATTTGTTGTAATGAAATTGAGTGACTTAAACTGTTTCTTGCCGCATATAGTCGTCTATTAACTAGTATATAAATTGCATTTAGTCTGTCGTTAAGGCGCCACCTCGGCAATTCCATGCTTTCTTTGTTTTTTATTTCGATTTTATGTCTAAAAAATATAGTAAATAACATATTTAAAGTGAGGTACTATGTACTTATACAAAAACAAAAAAATTGTGCAGTAGTAAATGCATAAAAAAAGTACCGTTGTTTATCGAAGTAATTACTTTAAGCTAATAACTAATTGTTTACTCAAATAAAATACAACAGAATATGAACACTTCATTATTTACACAAACTTATGCTGCCGCTGAGGGCAGAACCACGGAGAAGTTTTTTAAGAATAAAATAATTGTAAGAAATTGAAAAAAAATTAAAATACTGTGTTTTCTTCGTCGAAATATGTGAGACGGTTTCCGATTTAGAGTTCCTTTGCGCTAAACAAATTGCAAACAAAAGACTTAAGTAACGAACTTTTCGATTATTTTCGATTTTAGTGCAAAAAAAAAACTTCCAAAAATGATCATCAAACCGAGTTTCATCTGAAGAAAACAAACGGCTTAAGCAACGAACTTTTCGCTTTTTTATTTTTTTTCAAAATACCGCTCTTTCTCCAACGAARATAAGTTGAAATACAAAATAAGCGTTCATCTTCGATAAAATACGTTCGTTACACGTTAAATAAATGAAAAGGTGTTAATTTATTTTTAATTGTTTTGAAAAGAAAAAATTCGAAAAAAAATTTTTTAAAGAAATTCGAAAAAAAAATAATAAAAAAATCGGAAAAAATCTTGTCAAAAGCGCTTGTGGTTTTCGTTTATATTAATAAAATTATAAAAATATCAAATGTATTTCAAAAAAAATTATTTTCGAAGATTAAAATTTCAAAATTTCACGAAAACTCTTTTTGAAAAGAAAAATTCGAAAAAAATAAGTTTTTAAAATTATTTTGAAAAGAAAATTGCAAAAAAAAATTCTAAAATTTTTTCAAACAAAAAATTCCGAAAAAAATCTTGTCAAAAGCGCTTGTTTTTTTCGATGTTATTAATTTCTATGCGTATCATTATAAAAATCTCAAATGTATTCCAAAAAAATTTATATTGGTTCGAAAATAAAAATTTCAAAATTGTTTCGAAAAAAAATCAAATTCATTTCGGAAAAAATTCACAATTACACATTTCGAAAAAAAAATTCAAAATTTTTTCGAAAATAAAATTCAAAGTAATTTAGAAAATAAAATTCAAAGTAATTTAGAAAAAAAAAATTCAAAATTGGTTCGAAAAATTAAAAACTTTGAAAAAATTTTCAAACGAAATAGATACTTCAAAATTTTGTTAAAAGAAAAAAAGCGTTTTTAATATTCGATATTGACAATTTTCATATGTGATGTTTAACAAATTCCGAATATTTTTCGAAAAAAAATATAAATATTTATCGAGGACCAAATCAAAAGTTTTTCAAAAAAAAAATGTCAAAATATTTTCGAAAATTTAATTCGATTTAAATCAATAATTTAAATCATTAATAATTTCTATACGTCTCGTTGGGAAAATTTCAAAACGTTTTCAAACAAAAGAAAACAAATCAAAATTTTTCGCACAATCTACATATGTATGTATGTATGTATGTATATGTATGTATGAATGTATCGTTAGAAAGTTTTAAAGATTTTTTGAACTAAAAAAGGAAATCTTTCGAAAAACTGTTCGAAATTTTTCGAAAATAAAATCTAAATTTTTCGTTAAAATTTCGTTTCGAAAAAAAATTCAAAATCTTTTCAAGAAAAAAGAAAACAATTTCAAAATTTTTCGAACAATCTACATACATATATGCATGTATAAAAAAGTTTCAAAGATTTTTTGAAAAAAAATTTAAACTTTTTGAAATAAGCTAAAATACAAAACMAACGTTAAACTTCGAGTGACACAACAGCAAACAACTCGCAAAATGTCAACAAGCTGACAATAACAAATCAACGAGCTGCAAGTGAGACGTCAATCGAGGACAAACCGTTTGAGCGAGCGCCGCAACGCCCGAACGATGAGCAAATAAATACGGTAATGTGGAGTGCGACCATGATTTAGATGGAGCTGGCGGAGCTACATGTACGTTAGACGTGCTATTAGACGCACACAAACACATRCACCAAGGAGCCTGATCGSCGTGCAGTGGCCGACACATGCGCAGCCAGTGGTGTTTGTGTCCATCGGCTAGCGACTAGAGCAAGCATGTTCAAAGAACACGTTTCAAACGGTGGTGGCGTGAAAAACGAGAAACACTCTCACCGCCACTTTCATTTCACCGCACGATTAACTACGAGACGCTCTGTGGCAGTATGTCAATATCGTAAAGATTGTTGTTGTTAGTTGCATGCGCGCWTGTAGTCTAACATCAAGCTAATACCACCATATCCGATAATAGCTGCTGGAGGCTGCGTTGATGACAATATTTAGTCGCGGCCGCAACCAATCGRCCAAGTGGCTCACTGACTCAGTAGCCGAGCGCAATCATAACAATGTAGGCTGCGTGCATTTTGTTTTGAGTGTTACCGCGGTGCAGACGCGCGAATTTTCAATTGTCCAGCCAGCCAAGCAAACAGACACACAAAAATACATTCGATTTGAAGTCATTTGCATTTTAATCGCAGCCGCCAGTATGAAAAGTGAAAACGCGCATGCGCGACCTGTATTAAGCGCAAATGCAAGGAATGCACGCTGCGTAAGTAGAACTGTGTCAGATAAACACACCATAAACTGGACGTTGTTTACGAAACGTTGCTTGCTGGCGCTACAGACCTTGTTGCGCTTGGCATGCACTTTATTGGCGCTAAATAGCTGTTATACGCACACGCCAGCGTTGTTTGTGCAAGCTGCGCCYAGTCTCGCTTGGCATAATTCGGATTTGCGCACAAATGGCACGCATAGCATTGACCGCGCTTGGCCGCCTAACCTGCAGCACATCGATATTTGGAGCGCCATCGGGCAGTCGAGCTCCGCAGCTGAGCTGGCTGCTGACGAGGAGCCGGAAGTACAGTCATGGCATGTTATTGAGGACTTTCARTACGATGGTACTGATCTTGCAGCGCCTCATGAGCACACATCCGGTGGCCTTAACGGTACACAAGTGCAGCAGAAAGTGAGCAAAAGGCCAAAGCGTGGTAAGTATGAGTAGAGATGTGCTTTCTGAGCAGCAACTATATAAATTGTTATCTATTTGCAGTCAGWGATGCCATTGAAAAGCATTTGGAAAGCAAAGACACACTGGACCCGCCAAACAGTCGCCAAAATCGCGGTAAGTGACCTTGTGTGCATGCAAATTCTGCGTGAAAACTTTCTYCGTGAGCAAAAAGTTCATTTGCACCGTTAGCCATAACTGCGCAAACAAAAATATTAAGTTTGAAAGATTAAATGCGAGCAAAACGTTCCACTAACTGCACGAAATGTGATACAGGTTTGCTCGGAAAGTAGTAGGGTTGATTTTCTTCCACCGCGACTGTACTTCGAAGCGTGCGCGCACCGACTGGTTTCGGTAGGGGGCGTCCCTAGCTAACGAACGAGCGCCTGGAGAGACAGAACAAACATTTTCGCGCGACGTGTTTCTGTGAGCGGTGCAAGCCGAAATGTAGCGTTGAGCAGAGGTACACGATTAAATTCTGTGTGAAACTCGATAAATCTACGACAGAGACCTTTAATGCGTCAAGCAGGCTTACCCAGATGTTGCTTTAGCAAGAAGTGGTGTGTTTCGGTGGCACCAGGCCTTTTTAGAGGGCCGAGAAGAAGTCGCCGATGAAGACCGRTAGAATGAGCAAATCCAAGGTAAAAACGATGTTCTTTGTCTTTTTTGACATCAAAGGCATCGTCTACCGTGAATTTTTTGCTGCTGGAAATGTGATCAACGTCAACGCCAAGTTTTACGTGGAAGTCATCAAGAGACTCAAACGAAAGGTCAATCGGGTCCGACAAGACGTCGCAGCCGATTAAAAGTTGCACCACGATAACGCTTCGGCTCACAGCACCTTTCTTGTGAACCTAGCCAAGGCCGTCATACCAACGCTTCCGCAGCCGCTCTACAGCCCAGGTGTGGCCTCCCCGGACTTTTTTTATTCCYTGCCTGAAAAAGCCGTTGAAAGGCACGCATTTTGAAACAACAGATGGGATCCAAGCAGCATGCACCTTGGCTCTCAARGCTCGATTGATTCAATTAGTTTTTTTAAATCGACTCAGTCCTATTACTTTCCGGACAAACACAGTGTCTTTCAGTACCGTTAGTCTAATTTTCGGACGGAAGTACCGAATATATAAATATAATATAGAATGGTTTACAGTTATTTACTGAGTTAACATTTAGTGATACACCTGCTACCCGTGCCCGTGGACGRCGAGTGTCTCTCCGATGATGGCCGACGCATCGGCAACTGCTTCAACATATACGAATGTCGRGCCAAAGGCGGGATTGCGAAGGGTGATTGCGCAATGGGCTTTGGTGTCTGTTGCATATGTAAGTATAGACTTTACCTTCAACTTCATACGGCTCTATATCAATAAATAATACACTTTTTCTCATTCATCAATGCAGTCATCGCCAGTTGCAACACCACCATTAGCAACAACATMACATATTTGGTGTCGCCGCAATTCCCCAGCTTTATGCCGAGCAATTACAGCGCTCCATGCAGCTACAAAATCAAACTTATGAGCAATGAGGTCAGTCAGCTGCGCATAGACTTCTAYCACTTCTCAATGGGGCAGCCGAATCGACGAACTGGCGTCTGCGACGGTGACGTGTTTGCGGTCAATGGCGGKCCAAGTGGCGCGCTGACCTTGTGCGGACAAAATAGCGGCCAGCATAGTGAGTAGTTGAGCCGAGATTGTGAGCTAAAGTGTTCAAKTTTGTTCTGCTTTCAGTTTATTACGAAGTGGGTGGCGCTGCTGCGCCTCGACAGACACTCTTTGGTAATCTGCGTCCACTCAGCTTCAATCAGCTGTATCCGAATAGCAGCGACGGTGCGACGCCGACTATTGAGATCGTCATGAATTTCACGCAACGTTTCCAACCGATACGCCTCTGGGAGATACGCATCGCACAAATTCCTTTCAGTCAACGTGCGCCRGTCGGTTGTTTGCAGTACCACACGGGCACCGAAGGCATAATACAGGTCTGCGTCAATGCGATTGACTCTATTTTAACCATATATSTGATATTACTGACGTCTCCACTTTAGACCTTCAATTTTGCTGAGAACGGTCGTCATTTGGCTAACCAGAATTATCGCATCTGCATGCGTCAGGAACAGTACATGTGTTCGATWATGTATCARCCGTGCGATGAACAATCGTTTCGCATTGGTCCAGGCAGCGCTGCGGAACCAGGCATGCTTAATATGGGCGCGCCAGCCTTAATGATGGATCCTACGTTGGCTGGGATGATGGGTGGCGGTGGCGGGGCAACAGGCGCTGTATCTAACGACGATCCAACGTTGGATGCCATGCCGATAATGCAGTCTACAGTGCTTGCMGACGACCCCAATATGTTGCAAATGATGGATGCAACAACAATAGCCGCWATGATGTCCAGCGCCGCATCCGCGGATGCTGCCACAACTACGACCGCTGCGGTAATGGATGCCAGCACCGCAGCAACGGACAGTAGCGCTGCCACTATGTCAACAGAGGCTGCGAGTAGCAGCGCGGCGCCTTCCAGCAGTACAGGGGTTACATGTGAGTATTTGCATAAAATATATATTAATATTTGTATGTATATATGGGCTCATTATTGCTTTCCAAAAGCCGCCGCTCCAGCTGCCTCCGATATGCCTGCTACTTCAACGGAAGYACTGGCCAGCAGCAGTAGCGCTACCACGTTGGACACGCGTAGCAGCACCACCCCGGCTACGACTTCTTCTACAACGCTCARTGAYGAAATTGCAGATGAAGGTTCCGGCGGCGGTGATACCGACCCGGTTGCTGGCGCCCCAACGCGTCGACCTCGACCCGTGCGTGGCGGCTTCGATTTGCTCGGTTTTCTGCGCAGCGCATTCGATTTTCATACCTTTCGACGCAGTAGCCGACAATTGGTTGAGAAGAGCGCAAACAATGGAGGTAGTGAGAGACCGGCGAAGAGCGCGCGTCAGTTGTATTCGCGTTGCACAGATCGGCTRACTATGCCTTGTATTATCGAAGACTTCATAGGCATGGGTCCGCTGGGCTCACCGACATTGCCCGGCTGCGAACCGGTGCATTGCGGCACACAATTCTGTTCCAGCGGCACGTGGCCATGTCGCATCGAATCAACCGTGACACCCTTCTATATAGGTGTGCATTTCGGCAGCGGATCGGGTAAGGGTAGCGCGGAGGATAATATTGGCGCTTGTCTGCGCTATCAGCAGGTGGAATGCATGTGACGAAACCGTTGGAAGAGCATGCTTTTGTAGATACATTTTTAGTGTTTAAGACTGTGTGCTTGAGTGTGTTTTATATTGAAATTGATTATAATAATTTATTAAAAAAAAATAAAATCACATTTAAGAGAAATGTGAGAAAATTTTCGTTTATCCTGATTATTTTCATTTCTAACTGTTTAATGGGCCATCCTCGAAATATAAAATAAGTTTCGAACTATTTTCCATCATAAAATTTCGAAACAATTTTTGTTTTCTACAGCTTTTTAAACAAAGCTTTTTCGAGTGCATATTTATTTATTTAGTTTTATAAATGTTCTATATTTGTTAATATTCGGCAATTTCACTATTTGAGTGTCAATAGTGATGCTATCTTACTTTCCATATTAGTAGATGATACCAACAACAATTAAGCTCTATATAACCTAAGTAGAACATAGAAAATAATTGCATATCTAACATTAGAAAATTTCGAAAATTCTACAAAAAAAATTTAAAAATTTTTCGAAAAACAAAATTTTATTTCAAACAAAAAATTTGGAATTTTTGGAAAAAAAAATTCGAACAATTTTAAAATTTTTTCAAACAAGAAATTTAGAAAAAAAAAGTAGTCAAAACAGCTGTTGATTTGGGATATTATTAATTTCTTTACGTGTCGCTAAAAATATCTGAAATACATTAAAAAAAAAAGAAATTCAAAATTTACAAAAAAAAATCCAAAATTTTTTCGGAAAAAAAATTAAAATTTTCGTTAGTAAAAAATTCTTTGCAAAAAATATATTCGATATTAATAATTTCTATATGTGATGTTGAAATAATCCTGAATATATTTCGAAAAAAAAATAAAGATTTATCGAAAAAAATGCAAAAAAATTTTTCGAAAAAGAAATTTCAAAATTTTGTTCAAAAACAATATTTTCACAAGCGCTAATGATATTCGATAACAATAATTTCGATTATGCATSGTTAGAAAAATTTTAAAGATTTTCCGAAAAAACAATTCGAAATTAACGAACAAATAAATAAAATTTCTCGAATATAAAATCGCAACTTTTTTATTGGAAAAGGGTTTGAAATTTTTAAAAATTAAAATATAATTATTTTTTTTTCGAACTTTTTTCCGAAAAATTTTCTTTTTTTGTTCGTAAGTTTCGATTTGTTTTTCGAATTTTTTTCGAATTATCTTTGAAATTTTTCTAACGATACATATAGAAAATTTCAATTTTGTTCGAAAAGAAAATTTTGTGAAAAGCGCTTGCAATATTCGACATTTTTCTTAAACTTGTTTATGGTTAGGTTTAATTTTAACAGTCGTTGAACACATTTTGCGCGTATTAGTTTGCCTACAAGCATTTTTCGTCTATGTATATAATAAGTTATATATAATAATATATTATATGTATAAACATACATATGTACATGCACATGTATACTTCTTATAATTTGATGATATTTTTCTAATTTCTGTGATAATTTGCAGCTGGAATGATATGTTTAAGTTTAACAAAAATAGCAAGCCAAAAAGCATTTACTTGAACATATTTTACGACAGCGTTTACATAATTTTGAGTATTTCAACGCAAAAATACGCTTACATACTTACAAAACACAGCTTAAAAAACATTTTTAGTACCGCTGTATCTGTCTCTTATACACATCTAGATGTGTATAAGAGACAGCAGGTGGAATGCATGTGACGAAACCGTTGGA